TAAATCCTCAGCATATTATCCAAACAATATTTATCTGATGCTAAGTCAAATGCTGCCTTTACTTACATCAAAACATGTAAACAGAAATAAAAGCATTTGGTAACAGACCAATTAATTAATACTGTATTCAAGGCACAGATACGGAGCAATGCTGATAATATTCAGCTGTGCCCCTAATCTAGGAAGAAGAGCAGGCAGAACTTCAGGTGGTAAGTGTGAGAGCAAGGAAGAGAACTGGAGTCAAGGAGAATGGAAAGAAAGGTGCTAAATGCATTCTGGAGAGCTAGGGCAGAGGAACCTCTGGGAAGCAACACTTCAGCAGAGATCTGAAGAATGAGGAGGAACTAGCCAGCAAGCTGGGCAGGAACAACAATCAGTTGGCATTTGCTCCCTGATGTTCTGTGCTGGATCTCGGGAGCTGCCAACACTAACTTCATGCCAGGTGACAAATGATCTGAGTGCCCACAGCCGCAGCTGCGGGTTTATAAGCTCTCCCTCCTACCTTCGATGCTAATGAGTCAGAGACCTGGGAAAATACACCGTAGGAAACAAAATCTCTCCTGTTAGTGGTCCACAGATACCAGATAAGCATCTCCATCCTGTTAGGGAGTTGGCGTTGGCTGAAGACCTTCTCTATACCTCTAGCTCTTGCTAGAAAGAATAATTGACTGTTCCTTACTCATCTCTATACGTTTCATGGCATGCTTATAAACATGCATCCTGTAAAAAAAAAAAAAAAAAACAACTACTGGCTAATTCTTTGTTTCAGGAGTAATTGAAATGCATTCAAAGTCTTCAATGTCTCCTTGTAGCTAATTCTATCTTTTTAACTGAATGTGCTCTTACATATATACAATGTGTTCTCCTTACTGTAATCCTCCTCCCTTCCTAATATTCCTCCCACCCCATTAGTCCCTCTCCTCTCTAAAGTTTTCTTTTAAACCTTAAGGTTTTTTCCTTGAGACCCACTAAGCCTGGGCATTTGTGATTTGAGTTTGGAACTGTGCATAACAGTCTCTTGCTTTGCTCAGTGTCTACACAACCTGAGGTGATTCTTACTGCTACAAACTCTTCTCATTTTTTTAAATATTAATATTCTTAAATATTAAAAGTTATAACTTGGGAACAAGTTACCTGAGTTTATGCAAAGTTCCAGAGAGTGTGACAGAAGATCCCTATGTAAGATCTAAACAGCTTTACGCAGTCAAGACCCATTTCATGTGATGTTTAAAGAGCTGTTTCATTTCACACAATTAACTAATGGCAAAGAAATATTTTCTTCTTCTGAGGCTTATCAAATGAGAAATTTTCCCAGTCACTGGAGTGACTGCCCCTCTGTCCTTCAGAACCCATTGTCGTGTGATTATATTAAAATCATAAATTTTAATTTGTATGAAAATAGTGATTTAATCCTTATTTTGTTTTCATAAAGTAAGTAAACTGCTGTGACTGTCCATATGTTTCATACATCAGGCAAAACCTAAAGAAGCCTTGAGTTTGCTTTCTGCATTCATGGACTTTATAGCATGGTCAGAAAAGCTAAAGAAAAATCACATTAAAGTGATTCAGAAACACTGAACATAGAAAATAGTGCCAGCAGGGTACACACAGAAAGAATCAGCATTTTCTGTTCATGGTGGAAGACTGTCTGTTCACGCTGGAAGATTACAGCATGGTCTCAGGGACAGGAAAACTTTCACTATTCCTGTATTTGCTTTGTTCATTTGTTTTGATATTTGCGCCTTTCTTTCAAAAGCAAACAAGATCCCAGTTGTGTTACAAAACAGTGTACTTGTTTCAAATGTTATTTTTTTAATAAAATCATAAAATCTCCTGAAAGATACCTTTAAAAACTCAAAACATCTTGTCAATTCCATTAGATGATACAAAGAAAAAAGTTTGTATCGTTTTAGGCCCAGCACCAGGGAGAAAACTTACACTGTGTACTGCATTGCCTTCCTCCCAAGCTGAATACACAGCAGTATTAGCCCAAGGCAGCTCTGCTGACGAATTCATCTCCAAGCTACGGCTCAACCAGGGCCGAGAGTCAGTGAGTCAGGTAAGCTAGTGAGTCTTTCTACCGCCTTTCACACAACTGAAGACAAAGCATGAACAGCAGGCCCAGCAGATGGAAACCTGAGGTGTGGAAATCTGTCCTCTTGACACCGATGGGAGAGAAAGCCTGACTACGTGCAGATTAGCTCAGGGGAAACCGAAATGCTGCCACTAGTTTGGCTGACGTATATTAAGTCTACTGACACTCAGGTTTTAACCTTAGAAACTTCACCCTTGCATGTTTCCAGATGAGTGAGAGGAAAGTAAATTAAGACATATAAATCCTCTTTATATATGAAGGTTCTCTTGTGCAACAGGGCCAACTCTAGCTATATGTTTCTCAAGTTGTTACCTCATCATTAATGGTTATTGGGTATTTTTATTTATAGTATTATATGAATTTATTTATTGCCACTGAGTGATTCCCCACACATAAATTCCTGTAGTTTGCTCCCGCCCATTGGATGTCATCATCTCAAGTAACAAAACCTGTAGCTCTTCCCTCGCTTTCTCATACTTCTGTTCTTGTCCATACAAGGCACAGACATCGTTAATATGTTGGGCCAGAAAAGAGAATACCTCTTGAGGCCAGGCGCTGTAACCCCAATCATGCTGTCCAACCTCCCAAAATACCGTGGCAGCAAACAGCTAATGGTTTCTCAACTGATTGCTTTCTGTCGTAGGAGGTATAGAGAAGTTTAGAGAGTTCATCCTAAACTAAGTCATACACAACCCAATGTACTGATGTATTCTCATAAGCAGGGAAACGTATTTTGGCATACAAAATGTTCCTGTCATTTACAGCCCATTTCCCTGTACTTTTCTCATTGACAATTGTCATATCCCACTGTGATTCAGGTAGAGATAGGAAGTTAAATTGATGGGTTATCCCTAAAGAATCAAAACTAACTTCACAACATTAAAGAAAGAACAAGCACTTGAAAGCTAAACTAGGAAAAACAAATGCAGTTAAAGCAGAATAATATTCCATGTCAGTTATGACGATTCCTGTTTGGTACCGTCTGAGCCATGAGTCAATTTTAATGGAACAATAACCCCAACGACAAGGAAGTTGGAGAACGTATTTCACTTATGGAGATGAAGAGCAAAGGGAAACGCTGGACTCCTACAGTAACTCCACTTCTCCTTTCAATTGCTCTATCATTCGGTAGAGATTTTGTTGTCAGACAATCTCCACTGCACGCGCACATAACACTGAAAAACAATGAAGTGCCTTGGAAATCACATCTTAATATGATTAAAGAGAAACTTAAATAAAAATGTATGATTTCCTGAACCTTCCTTCCAGTTTCTCCTGGCGTGTACTACATTAAGCCATTGTAAGACTACTGTGTAATATGTTGTCTGTTGTGTTGTGGTGAACTAATCCAAACCCCTCAGAAAATGTCCGTGGCATTTAAAGACTTCCCCACCTGATTCTAGTCCACCACTAGCACGACAGATGTATCTACAGTAATCTAATTGATGGACTGGAAGATCTTTCTAGGGCTTCATCACACCTATCCCAATCATGTTTCCCACTGATTCTTTAAGAAGAGGACTTCTCATCAGACATCCTAATTCTCCCTGCCCAGGGATTTTCCTTTACTCCAATTCTATACACAGTACACTTGGTAACTTTCTATTAGCATTTGATTTTTGTTTGGTTTTACTGTGTATTCCTATTCTTAACGAGGCCAAATTAGTGGTTTAATTGACAACCCTCTGAGTGCAAAGTCTCAAAAGTTTCTTTCTTGTCAGAGTATCTTAGGGTTCATCTCAGAAACATCCTTGCCTGTGTAGCTCTCGGTTTACATCTATAAGGTCAAATGGTGATAGTTTTTGAAGGACAAAGTATAAAATTCAGTTGTTGCTCAATGGGCAAGATTCTCAGGGCATCAGTAGGAAGGCAAATGTATTCTGACATCAGTGTCAGAGTAATGACAAGAAGTCTCAGCCTCGCGTGTTTTCATGCATTCGTGAACCTTTGATCTTTCTGTTTTCTAGCTGGTCACATAAACTCCCAGTAAGAACTTGTCTGTTCTTAGAACTAACCGGAATATCATACATAACCATGGGTGTACAGAATCCCTATTTCTATATCTATGCACCTTGTCCCAAGCAATCAATGCAGACAATAGTTTACACTCGGAGTACAAAACCAATCTTTCCTCAGAATTTAAAAGCACAGAAAACTAAAGACACAGACAGCCAAATGAAACATGAGCAATTTAAAACACAGCAGCAAAGCAAGCACAGCCTTTTCATTCACATTTTATTTCCGATCAATGTTTGCCCTGCTTTCTAAGTTCCCCAGGCAGAAAACCGGCATGAAGGTAACACATGTCCAGCCATGTACAGTAAATGCGCAGTGGCAACTTGGTATCTGGACCACATATATGCTATTGTATAAACAAACAACACATCTATCTGTTCAAGGAACATCAGAGCGTATAGAAAGAATGTGCATGCATGAGCAGAATTTTCATGGTGTCTTCCAAGTGCACAGTGCTTTTTCTGGAACACAACTATGAAAATATTGACATTTTCCAGGTATGGTAAAGTCAACACCTGCAAACAAAAAGATTTCAGTGTCTAATCATAGTAGTGGAATATTCTTTCCATTGTGTTTCAAAAGTCATATTTGTTTTTTTTTTAATATATAGCAATGCAATTTAGGTTCATTTATTTTTCTAAAAGAATACTCAGCAAAGTATTTTAGCATCATTATCTAAGTGCTTGCTTAGACTACAACTCATGTCCATTTCCCTCAATAAACATTTTTTTTAATCTTTCATTGTATCACTCTTGGGGGGGGCGGATGAAACATTGTGAACCCCACAGGCTCCCATGATCTCAGTGAATATGAAATGGATATATACATATAGGCACAATTCAGGACACAGGACATTTGATACACAAAGGATGATCAAACCAGTTCATACCCAGCACAGGTCCATTGAGTAGTTTCTGTTGCACATATTCGCTCCTCTGCCCATGGTCAGCGCTGCTTTGAAATACTACAAAGCAATCTACACTTCGCGTGCCGCCCGCTTAAGTTCTTTTCGCTCTCAGAAATGGAAAGACTTGTAGAGTGAGCGATGCTTTGCCGCCGCGTTCCGCCAGAGACTTCTCCGAAACCCACCTCTAAGCTGAGCCCAGTGATGCCCAGACGCTCCAAGACTCATTCTCAGCAGCGGGCGACTGTCCACATTCTGGGCTGAGAATGGACTCTCGCTCGCCATCTGGAGGCAGCTCCTGGCAGCTGCAGCGAATTTTTAACAACTGGGTGGAACAAGAATGTCAGCAAATTCTTTGTTAAATAAGAGGCATACTGTTTTATTTACACACTCTGCTGATAGAAAATGAAAGAAAGAAATACAGAAAGAAGGGAGGGAAGGAGGGACGGAGGGAGGGGTGGGAGGAGAGAGGGAGGGAGGGAGAGAGAGAGGGAGGGAGGAACTAAAAAAGCAGGAATGAAAAAGGGAGAAGCGAGGGAGCTAGAAAGAGGATGGAAGGGAGAGCGAGCGGAGAGAGAAAAGAAAGGAGAGAGAAACGTAAAGACCATCATAAAAGCATGCTATTCTGTCCCTAGTGAATTTCCATAAAAGCTATTACTTTTATATATTTAACAATAAAATAAAAATACTGTTATTTTATATATAAGTGTAATATATATATGCATAAACTTCACAAGAGTAAAATTTAATTTTCTATTTCTTGCTAATGTATCTCAAAGTAAAATAATCATCACAGGCTGCTCCCAGGAATCCCCATATCTTTGATACTTAACTCAAAGACAGCTTTGCAAAAGAGAAACCTGGAATCTGCACATAGAAGAGTCACTTGTTAAAAATTGGCTGCTGCTTAAAAACACAGACTTTACCAGGAAAAGCATACCCTCCTAACTGAGTGTGGTAACAAGAAAAAGCTGTTTCAGTGAGTCCCTGCAACCAGGGGTTATAAGATTTCCAAATTACAACAACGGTGTCTTCGATTGTCTCTGAGTGTCCTCTAAAGTTGCTTCCATTGAAGAATAACAAGTTTTAAGCTCTCTTAAGTCAAACAAATATTTATTTATTTTTTCTGTAATGTCTATATAGAAATTTGATTCCTGGGTATTTCTATACTGCCTACAGATTGGAACAAGCAATCTCTTTGGGGTGTTAATCAAATTGTTTCTACCATGGGTCAAAATTTGGAACTTTATTTTCCCTTTAATATTCTACTTTGATCCTATTTAATCAAAAATTCGACATTTGGAATACTGTGTTTTTTTCCAAGAAATTGTGGATAGTTGTTAGCTTATGTATTCTGTAGGGCTCTTTGGAGAAACAGAAAATTTTAATTATCACAGTTTAAGTCAGGAGTTAAAAATTTATATTAATAAACAAAGAAAAATATGTTTTCTTGATATTTATACCGAGTTGCTTATTTCCATGACTTTAGGGGTGAATGAATTTTTTTATAACATATTTAATTAATATTTTTAAATAACATTTTCGATAAGAATGTTTAAAACCGTGGCTTTTGGTGAGTTTGTAAAGGCACCGGAAAAAACATACTGTGGTCGATCCAAACATAGTCAGTCAGCTCTTCAGGCACCTTTACTCTCAGCTCCATGCCTGTTCAGAAAGAGAACTTGCTAGCTAATTAAATCCTAAAATATATGACTTCTTTGCTGCCCTGTGACTAGTGACTCATGGAAACTCCGAGACAAGCAAAGCACTCATATATTCAGCATAGGAATGCAGGCAGACATGGCTGGCGGAAATGTGCAAACAACAAAGAAAGAGTAAGCAATCTGTTTACATATCAAATATGTTCAGTATTTATCAAAACATCTCACGTGAACCTTTAATAGAAGCATGTAGATAAATACACACAAACATTTTCTTCTTGCATGATTAGTTTTCATGTAAACATCGCCACATATCCAAAGAATGATTTTATAGGAAGAATAAATTAACTATTCTTTTTTTTTTTAAAGAGAATGTTAAAAAGATGAGGAGTTTTTTTTTTTTTTTTTTGGACTCCTCACAGTCAGAGAGAGATGTTTTGCCTGTATGTATCAGAGGCAACATCTTCAAGGATTTCGTGAGCTGCTGTTTCTTCCAAAAAAAGATGACTGTGTGGCTAAGAAAGAGTTCTTATGGGCACCTCTTGCCCTTTAAAAAGAAGACTTAAAGTTGATTTTATGATATTTAGAACAGGAGAAATAGAATATAACTCTCAAAATAGATATTTAAAAAGAGAGAAAATTATTTCTTGTCTTTTAAAATATTTTGCTGTTCAAGCATTCATATTATGTATTTGGATCAATTCTACCCCAATTCTCTCTTCTTAATTTTCCCCTATCTCCTACCCCCTACTGCTTTTCCATCTCAAATTCATGCCTGGCCCCTTTGATATATGAATGTGCCTGGGTAGCCTTTCAGTGGCTGAATCCTGAAAAAATATAATCCTGGCAGATGTTAACTATAAATAGTTCATCTTATAGGGCTGGGTCCTCATGAGAAAACTATTTCTATTTCCATAATATATCATGTCAGAAGTAAATCAAGATTAAGAACCAAATCAGATATGTACAGTGAGGCCTAAGGAACTGAGTTCTAAATGTCTGACTATAGTAATGAACTAGGATTAAGGTTGCATTAGATTTACATTGCTATATAACAATCTACTAAAAACTTATTGCGTTAAGCACAGATATCTATCATCTCAGATTTCCTAAGCCAGAGAGTGGTCCAGATTTAGCTCAGATGTTTCCTGTCCTCGGAAGCTCCCAAGGTGGTGAGCTGGGTTTCAGATGGATTATGCTCTGATCTAGAAGTTTGGCTAAGGAGGAATCAATATTAAAGTTCCAAAAGATTGCCACAAAACTCGTTTCCTTGGGGCCATAGAACTCATCACGGCTTCCTTCTTCAAGGCCACAAGGAAAATGTCTTCCCTTGAGGAAAAGACAAATATCTTCTGAAGACATTTACCCCATTAAGCCAGATCCGCAAGAAAAAAAAAAAACCTTTCTTAAATAACTCAAAAGAAAACTTCAAGGGACTTTAATTCTATGTGCTAGGACCCTTTCCCGTTTGTCATGTTATATTGGGTAGAAAAGAGTAGATTCTGCTTATAGAAAACCAGAGGCAATGCGGAGAACCCTGTGAGGTCAGCCTAGAAAAATATGTGCTAAAATCAGTATCTATATAAAGACTCACACGGTTTCTTCTTACTATTTAAAAGCTAAGAAGAGCAGCCTGGGAAAAGGTAGAGTCTAGTTATAACCATGCCTTATGTGTTAATAATATTTTCTTTCCATAATATATTTAAAATATTTGTTAAGGTCTAGCTTTTGTAACAAGCAAGTTCTGCATCAAGGTTAATTCACAACGCTTAGTCTACATTTTCGTGAATTTTAGTAAAATAACCAGTAGGTGTTAGAATTTTAACATATTCACTTAAGGAAATGATAGAAAAGCCTTACACAAGCAAATTTATTTCAATTTATTATATCATTGAAGGTTTGTTCAAAGACATATGTGTATCTATCAGAGTGATGTTGAAGATGCATAATATATCTGTGGGGGAACTGAGGGTAACAAGAGACCAAAGAAGTTACCTTGTCAGGAATGGAAAGGTTGGGGAAGGTAGAGTATTAAACTGATAAAATAGAGAGTGTTGATACAAATGTAGCCCCAGTGATGTTACACACTAGACACACCCCTGTCTATCTGGTCAAAACTCATACTAATAATGAACCATGTTCTCAGGTTGCTTAGCTTAATTCAACTATGTATATGCACCTGACTACAAAAATTACACACCCTGCCATTAGTCAAAAATGTATGATTTGTGTGACTTTTGTGAAAAAAAATATGTCCAATTAGAGTATCCAGTTCTGTTGCTGAAAGGTCATGCAGATACTATGAACTCTGTGCTTGCTGATGCAAGGAAAATTGATTTGAGGGAAGAAAAGTAGTGTGAACTCAGAAGGATGTAGCGATTAAAAACAGCATTCCCTCATTAAAGACAGCACAGTCCTTCGGTGCTTTCTCATGAATATCCTGTTATAGATTGTGTACATCTAGGTAGCATGAGCACTACGATGAGCTACAGTCCTTGTTTTCATGAAACTTGCTGAGATTCTGTTCCAATGGGCATATTACGTATTGTTCTTATGGAAACTACAAGAATCAGAAGAAAGGAAATTAGGACATTCAAGATCAATGAAAGAATTGCTACAGGGAGTCATTCTCTGTGTGCATTTTCCATATGTTTGCAGGAGTTTTGTCCAGTTTGGTGAGTAGCTCACACTGTGTAGCAATGGTGGGCTCTTCCTATGTTATGCTATTGAATGAACTAAAGCTTACCACAAACTGACAGGGACATGGAAAGTTCACAATACCTAGTCTGTAGGCGTATGTATTTTAATGAAAGAGGCAAAAGGTACTAGAATTTCAACATACTATTTTAATAAATGAGAGGAAAAGTCTTACAGAGACAAAATGAATTTTGATTGATTATATTGTTGCAAGCAGCTACTTTTCAATAGTATTGACTTAACATCATAGAATAACAAAAAACCTTCATCAAAATCTAAGATTTCTCCCGAGTGTTTCACAAATTTCTAATTCAATATTACCACTGATATAAGGAATATAAAAATTCAATAAATGAGTATTAAATTTTAAGGAATGCCATTTGCTCTTATGCCTTGCTTTTAGAGGGTTATTTTGTTTCACACCAACTAAATGTTGTTGATGTTATGGGGGTCTTACTGTGTAGCCATGAACTTCAGTTCTTCCTGCCTCAGCTTCCTGAATGCTGTAATTTCCGGCCTGCACTATCACACCCTTAAGGATGTGTGGAACCAAAACAACGAAAGCAAATACTTTATAGGAGCCGATTTATTTAACATTTTATATCTACCCCAGTACACACACACACACACACACACACACACACACACACACACACACGAGGTGGGGAGGGAGAGAGGAGGAGGGAGGAAGAGAAAAGCCTGCGAACATACAGTTTTGAGACTGTTTTTGTGTGTTGGGGTTGAGGGGAAGTTAATGGGCATTTCCCCAGTGCTATTTGAATGAAAATGCCCTACTAAATTAAGAAGCAAGAAAGTTGTGTAAGTCAAATTATCCTTTAGATATTTAAGGGTGTCCTA